CCTTTCCATAGGGAGACCCAAATCCCCCTGCACCAGCACCACCAACTCCAGCTCCAGCAGGGATGCCATCCTTTCCATAGGGAGACCCAAATCCCCCTGCACCAGCACCACCAACTCCAGCTCCAGCAGGGATGCCATCCTTTCCATAGGGAGACCCAAATCCCCCTGCACCAGCACCACTAACCCCTGCTCCAGCTGGGACACCATCCATTCCACAGGGAGCCCCAAATCCCCCTGCACCTGAACCACCAGCACCACCAGCCCCTGCTCCAAGTGGCCGACCATCTGGACCATAGAAAGCCTCCATTTCTCCTACAGAACTGCCACCTGCACCAGGTAGAGCCCCATCTCCACTTGGAAGGCCACCTGGGCCATACACCGAGCCAGACCTGCCCCCCTGACCCAACTGAGCACTGGCATGAGGTGCCAGGCCATCCTTGCCATAGGGAGCCCCTGTTTGTCCCTGTCTGTTTATCCCTGCTCCGTTCATGTCACCCACAGTCAGATCACCACCCTTGCCATGGTGGGACCCCATTCCTCTTGCAGCCTCTGCAGCACTCCCCCACCCTGCAGCCCCTGGGCCAGCCCTGCTGAACAGATCCCCCACACCATCTCCCACTCTGGCTGAACCAGGACTGAGCCCATCTGGCACAGAACTTCTATCAGTGGCACCAAACCTCCCAACACCCCCAAAGCCAGCTCTGGAGCTGGGATCACCTAAATTCCCATCCTTGTCATACTGAGAGCCCAAACCTTCTCCACCATCCATGTCCATGTGACCAGCACCCAGCACACCCTCTCCTCTGCCAGCTACAGAATCCTGTCCCCCTGCTCCTCCTGCTCCATCCCCAGGACCTTCCCTGCCTGGCACAGAGTCCTTGCCGTCCACAGGCCTTAATCCACCTTTGCCTCCTAAGCCTTTTAATCCAAAGATGCTGCCATCATTTGTCACTGAGTCTCCATCTAGATCTGCTCCAGAAAACTGCCCAGGCCCCATCCCTCCATTTATGTGGGTTTTGCGGAGCCCCTCTTTTCCCAAAAATATGTGGCTTCCATCATCAGTATCCATGGAGTGGCCTTGGCTGCTGCCTTGGCCACTGCCTTGGCCTCTGTCCTGGCTGCTGCCTTGACCCTTCCTGTACCAGCCCTTTTTTTCCACTCCGGTGTCCATGGCATGACCTTCATCCCCGGCACGTTCCTGGCGCCGAAGTTTCCTCGCCCTTTCATTGTCTGCCATCGTTTCCTTCAGCCACTCAGATGTCTCCCTTTCGATTTTTTCAATTCCTTCCTCATCCTGTCTCTTCCTCCCTTTGGCATCTGCGTTGAAGTTGCATTGTTTGATTGGAGCAGACAGAATTTACAGAAAAAAGGGGGGGAACAAAGAACAGATGATCAATAGGTCACCTATTGCATCAGTGGCCAAAGAAAATGTGTAAGCAATTTTATAATTTAATTTTAGGATACAGACACATAATACATTTAAACAAATTTAAATTCATTTCAAATTCTGAATTTTTTCAGTGTCACATTCAGACAATGAAAAGTTAATTAGAGACAATTATTTTTATTTAAAACACAACTTTTTTTAGTGGAACAGGGTTGTTATAACAAACAAACAAACAAACAAGACAGAACTGACAGAAAAACAAATTTTCAGCACAACAGGTCTGATTTAGAGGGGCTTAGATTGTATCTGGAACTCATTAGTTCCTTTTGCCTTCTCCCTGACCCCATGCCTGCTGTAGTGTGGTCCCAGTGACAGCTTCCTCAAAAACACGTGGTGAGATATGGAGCAGTTTTTGATAACAGAGACCATTGTAGGTGTGCAGCAATAAGCCAATAGGATTTGTCAGGATTAATTAAAAAGAGAAAAATTGGTCTCATTTGAAGAGGAAAGGGGGTCTAACCAGACCTTCATTTTCCCAAATAGAATTTAGAATCACAGAATCCCAGAATGGTTTGGGTTGGAAGGGACCTTAAAGCTCATCCAGTCCCACCCCCTGCCACAGGCAGGGACACCTTCTACTATCCCAGGTGGCTCCACCCTGGCCTTGGACACTTCCAGGGATCCAGGGGCAGCCACAGTTTCTCTGGGCAACTGTACCAGGGCCTCCCAACCCTCACAGGGAGGAATTCCTTCCCAATATTCCATCCAACCCTGCCCTCTG